GGGGAGCTGGAAGATGAGAACTGGCGACTTTCTAGTACGACTTTAGTACGCGGAGCAATCTGTGGAGCTGGAAGCTGAGAACTGGCGACTTTGTAGTACAACTTGAGTACGCGGAGTATCTGGGGAGCTGGAAGATGAGAACTGGCGACTGTTTAGTACAACTTTAGTACGCGGAGTATCTGGGGAGCTGGAAGATGAGAACTGGCGACTTTCTAGTACGACTTTAGTACGCGGAGTATCTGGGGAGCTGGAAGATGAGAACTGGCGACTTTGTAGTACGACTTTAGTACGCGGAGCAATCTGTGGAGCTGGAAGCTGAGAACTGGCGACTTTGTAGTACAACTTTAGTACGCGGAGCAATCTGTGGAGCTGGAAGCTGAGAACTGGCGACTGTGTAGTACAACTGTAGTACGCGGAGCAATCTGTGGAGCTGGAAGATGAGAACTGGCGACTTTGTAGTACAACTTTAGTACGCGGAGTATCTGGGGAGCTGGAAGATGAGAACTGGCGACTTTGTAGTACAACTTTAGTACGCGGAGCAAGCTGTGGAGCTGGAAGCTGAGAACTGGCGACTTTGTAGTACAACTTGAGTACGCGGATGAGTCATTTCTCGCGGCTGAGTCATCTCTCGTGGCTGCTCTGGCGCCCCTGCAGCTGAGTCATGTCTCCCGACCGCCCGGCTCTCTTGAGAGGTTGACAAATTTTAGCTACTTTGCTTACTCATAAGTGGCTGCCACAAAAGAGTCATCGTGGCGTTAGTATGTGTGTACTTCACCTTCATGACAAGCGATGTTCGCTTGGAATACACGAGTCGCTTGTCATGATCGTGACGTCATTTACTCTCAGGTCGCCCTGCTCGTGGAAACTTCAGTGTGAAATGTACGTTCTTCAGTTCTAGTTGAACCTCTTCAGCGTTGTACTTGCGTGACTAAGGTTGACGTTGCAGTGCCGTTGCATCGACGCATCTACGTCTACACCCCTTCACCTCTCTACATTTACATCTTCACACGCTCACATCCGCAGATCTACCTCTCCACCTCACCACACCCACGCATCTGCACATCTATATCACATCTGTACATCCACACTGTCGCTCCTTCACATTTGTCCTGTCTTTCTTTCTTTCTTTCTTTCTTTCTTTCTACATATCTTGTCTCTCGTCTCTGTGCATTTACATCTTCGCACGCTCACATCCACAGATCTACCTCTCCACCTCCATACATCTACAGATCTATATCGCACCTGCACATCACACTGTCACTCCTTCACATCCATCCTCTCTTTCTCTCTTTCTATACATCTTTTCGACAGTGCTGGACAATTACATGTCTCGCTCTCGGGCCAACCGTCGTCTAGTTGTTGGTAACGATGGCCTCCCCCTAAGAGCGATGGCCTCCACCCTAGTAGCGATGGCATCCAATGTAATAGCGATCAAAGCTGTATGTGTTTGTTCTCGTTTAGGTGGTGGACCAGTTCGAAAATCGCCTGGAGCGCAAGCGCAAGACGCTACTGGGTGCGCCTCCAGGTACCACTATGCTGGGAGCCCAGAAACATTTTCACAACGGAAAACAAAGAAGAAAGCGGAGAGAGAAAGGTCTAATATAGTTTGCTAGTAGGAGCAAGGATGCTACTAGTAAGGCACTTGTTATTAGAAGCGATGCCCTTCGCTCCTAGTAGCGAACCTTGTTCCGTTCGTAGTAAGGCCAGGAGCCCCGTTCGTAGCGTCCGATCGCTCCGTTCGTAGCGAAGACTCTCGGATCTTCCCTCGGTACCAAGGGACCCACCATGACTGTGGCGACAGAAGCACACCACCACCATGACCATGTCGTACCAAAATCTCCACAGAACCCAGAAAGACTGTAAGCAGGATGTAGAACGTAAGAAACATAAGCTTAACTCTAGAACTTCTTACATGAACAACAGCATGTACAAAAGCATGTTCCAAACGGCATTATCCAGTCAACATGCTAAAAGCGCTACAAAAGCACAATGCAGCCTATCAAACCGCCAGTTACATGTGAAGGCTTGAGTCTTTAGGTCTTGAAATTCTTAAACAAGACCCTTGGACTAGTTGCTTCTTGTTACTACTAGTAAGGCACTTGTTACTAGTAGCGAGGCACTTGTTCCTAGTTGCTTCTTGTTACTACTAGTAAGGCACTTGTTACTAGTAGCGAGGCACCTGTTCCTAGTAGCTTCTTGTTACTACTTAAACAAGACCATTGGTCCATTCTCTTTACCTTTTTTAGCCGGCTCCCACTTAATTAAGTAGGCGCTACTAGGCTCAGTGAACTTCTACATATGGATGCAGGATGGCTCACGCTTCTTCAAGGAAGCTGGGGGAGAGCTTCCTTGAAGAAGCGCTCGCACTAATGATTTTGTTCGATCAATTTTTAGGGAAACTTAAGGACATTGTCCTTCTCTAGTTTTCTATACCTTTTTGACGCTTTTTGAATCATGCCTCATGACTGATCCCTTTTCACACTTCATGTGCAGGATCTTCTTTGTCGACGATGTCAATATGCCCATGCTGGAGCATCGGGCTCGATTGCACTTGTCAATAGACCTTGAGAGTTTGTTCCAATCATGCAGAGCACATAGAGTTAGATTGAAGTAAATTTGTATTATTTCTTTCAGTACTAGGAGCAAGCAGCTACTAGGAACAAAGGGCATCGCTACTAGGAGCAAGGACGCTACTAGGGGCTCCTGGCCTTACTACTAGTAGCAAGGACGCTACTAGGAACAAGTGCATCGCTTCTAGTAACAAGTGCCTTACTACTAGTAACAAGTGCATCGCTAGTAGCAAGAAGCTACGGTGATTGTCGCCAAGATTCTACGGTGCACAGCCGCCCATAGAGCTCCTGCGACAGGCCTTTCATGGCTTCTCCGTGTTGCTCATTTGTTCGTTGTTTCACACCCGGAGGTCGTTGACTATGGAGGCTTCTATGACAAAAAGAAACTCTTTTGGCTGCTTAGCGAGTGTGGCATTCGCCATGTCACTCTTTTTGTTTTACACATTTGGCATTCGCATTAAGTTTTATAGGTTGGAGGCCATCGCTTATTGAAAAAAAGATACATGACATCTGAGGAAGCAAGTGGCAGATACTCAATTCATTTGCGCCTGTGGACCACCTGGTGGTGGTCGGATGCCTGTGACCCCCAGGTCCCTCGTTTTTTTTTTTTTTCGTTTCTTTTTTTCTGGTACTCTTTGCTAGTAGCGTCCTCTTGTTACTAGTAGCAAGAATGCTACTAGGAACAAGTGCATCGCTTCTAGGAACAAGTGCCTTACTAGTAGTATCAAGAATGCTACTAGTAATGCCCTTTGTTCCTAGTAGCGATGCCCTTTGTGACTAGCGTCCGGTACTCTTTCGGCACTTTCGCAGGCTTTTCCGGCACTTTAACATGATTTGGGTACCGGTCTCTTGGCGAAATTAAAGAGGAACGAAAGAAGACAGCTGAGAGTTCGGAACGAACAAACATACATGGCTTTATTTGTTGTTTATGTGTTTCATGGTTTTTCTGCTGTCTTTTTTTTTTCAATTCTCAAAAGCTTATCGGATGAAGCTTCCGGACGCCCCAAACAGGGTTGAGTAGACCAAACCACGGGCGGATCAGTGAACTGGCACACATAGGAGGACACATAGGAGGACGCCGCACCTCACGCACCAATTGCGTCGCAGGCGCAGAACTTTGCAAACATCAAAGTCAAAATTCAACGTGCATATATGTGCTTTCACATGTGCGTTAGTAGGGTGAAGGCCATCGCTATTAGGTTTCTTTTGACATTTCTTTGTTTCTTTTCTGCAAACCGGACTTCGAAGATCTCATGCTGTAACTGCCCCAGTCGACGGATGTGAGCACCGGTCAAACCCAGCCTCAACGACTTCCGTAAAAACTCCGTGTCCACACTGAGAAACGACAGACAAGAACGGCTTTCCACACAAGTCTGAAGACCAGCCTGAAGAAAGCAAAGGAAACAGCGAGAAAAAGGGACAAACAGTTGGAAGAACGAAAACAAGGAAATAGGTTTTTCTAAATGGAACAAAAACACGAAGCAGGAATAAGGTCTGAAGAAAGGCAACAACAAACAAACCACGAGAACTGTTTGAAAGAAGAACAAACAGGAGAAGGGAAGAACAAATTGAAGAAAAACCACCAGAAATGAAGAAAAGAAAGTGCCTTACTACTAGGAACAAGAAGCTACCAGTAACTAAGTGCCTTACTAGTAGTAACAAGAAGCTATTAGTAACAAGTGCCTTACTAGTAGTAACAAGAAGCTGTTAGTAACAAGTGCCTTACTAGTACTAACAATCAGCCATTAGTAACTAAGTGCCTTACTAGTAGTAGCAAGAAGCTATTAGAAACTAAGTGCCTTACTAGTAGTAACAAGAAGCTGTTAGTAACAAGTGCCTTACTAGTAGTAACAAGAAGCTATTAGAAACAAGTGCCTTACTAGTAGTAACAAGAAGCTAATAGTAACAAGTGCCTTACTAGTAGTAACAAGAAGCTGTTAGTAACAAGTGCCTTACTAGTACTAACAATCAGCTATTAGTAACTAAGTGCCTTACTAGTAGTAACAAGAAGCTATTA